TTGTCAAACAGCCTGAGCAAGAGGAACTATGCTGAATAACTCGGATACTTGGATTGCTGTTGTTTTCCAGTGGCTCCAAACCAACGCAAGGACAGCTGTGTGGTCCAACATGCTGCTTTGATTAGAGAAACAGTGAAAAGTCATAAGAGCTATTGAGTCCAGACTCAAGATTTCTCCATGCGCTGTCAACAACAAAGCACGGCAGTGAGGAAACAGAAGGCTCCAGTTGTCTGGGGAATTAGAAGATTCGGGTTACGGGCGACTGGCTTCAAAAAACTCGATTAGGGGTAATGCTGAACTCTACAAGGTACCTGACCACCAGGGTTAAATAGGGGTTATGCAGACCCAGGGAAAGGAGTTCTTTGCACGCAGGGGACCCAAATGCACACCACACATGCGAAAGGCTTCAGAGGAAAAATATCTCTCAGACCAATAAACCCCTGTGATTTAATACAGAGAGGAGACTTGTGGTGGATGAGGACAGGGAGAGGGGGACAAAAGAAAGAAGGCGTCACTGGTTTTATTGTTGTTGAACCCCTGCTGGACTGCTGTGTTTTCATTTGAAAATGAACAATAACTGTGCCTATTATTCCAATAGGGCCATAAACAAAATAAAAAACCAGAATCGGAAATGCTATTGAATAATAGATTCAAGCAACCAAGAAAGGATCACGAAATCTCTAGACACTAGTAAAATAAAGCTGATTATATGCTAAGATTAAGACGGCAACTTCCGAGGCTGTTACATGTTTATTCTCTGCGTGTTTTTGTGTTTAGGTTGGGGTCTGTGTGCAGCCAAAGCTCAGTACCCGATCGCAGACATAGTGAAGATGCTGACAGAACAGGGCAAGACTGTCAGGTGAATGTCGACACTCATTCTCTTCATCCTCTGTATAAACAAGGTCACTGCAGCTTCTTTCCTCAGTGAGTTTGCCATTGGGGAGCTTGAAAAAAGACAACTTCAAAGGTCCAGTGTGTGGGGCATCTATTGGCAGACATGGTGTATAATATTAATAAGTATGATTTCATTAGTTTATAATGACCTGAAAATAAGATTTGTTGTGTTTTCATTACCTTAGAATGGGTAAGAGTGGGTCGTCATCCACTGGGGCTGCTATGTCGTTCTACAGTAGCCCAAAATGGACAAGTCAAACACTGGCTCTAGATCGGGCCATTCGCATTTTTGTTTTCTCCACAGTAGTTTCCCTACACACTTGTGAGCAGTTTCACTTATGCACACTCACTGCTAGATGCCACAAAATCTAATCACTGGAACTTTTATTTTTATTTTTTTTTTATTATTTATTTATTTTTTTTTTACTAAATTTACTCAAGTACTATACCTGAGTACAATTTTAAGATTGTACGCGATTGTTTAAATGTTATGCTACTTCATACTTCTATGCCACTGCATTTCAGAGGGAAATATTGTACTTTTTATACCATTTTATCTGACAATTATAGTTTTTAGTCACTTTTCAAATTGAGATTTTGCACAATAATCATGTGAACATGTTATAGATCCAACAAACAACATATAAAGTAGTTAATACTGGTGGCTTCATCTCCACCAGCTACAACATGAAAATGCTACCTACATGTTTATACTAAGGATATTCCTAATAGGGGTGGGAATCACCAGAAGCCCCACAATACGATATTATTGCTGTTTTAAACACTTTATTATACGCTTACTTAGACTAGTCATCTAGTCTAAAAGTAAAAAAACACTCAGAAAACAGTCAAAATTTAGCACAATTTAATCTATAAGGCTAAACACTGTCCGGGAAAAATATTGCATGTATCATAAGAGCCATTTAAAATTGTTAATCACATTTTTCAGTAACCAAATAGTACTTTAAATGCAGCTTAAATGTTTGGATGAACTTTGCACATCATCCTACAAAACATCATAACTCATTAAATAAAAGTTAACAAACAAAATTTATTGAAATCAATATCTTTTTAGAAAAATAAATCTCCAGTAAATGTTCCTAATTATTATAACAGGTCAGTGCAATCCTACAGAACGTAATCCTATCCTACCATTAAAAAAAATAAATACATCAGTCATCACAATTTGTATTAAAGCAAAAAGTTTTCAGTTGTTGGTCCTTTTTTTCAACAAAAGCTCTTAATACTTGACCACCCTATAGAAATAATATAATCTGAACTTGTTTAGAAAGTGAGGCGCATTTTTACTCCTGGCGCCACGGGAACAGGGTGTCAGTGATCAGTTTTCAATGCTAATCAATAACCGTCCATCTCCAACAGGTTTGGTATCCACCCAGTGGCCGGTCGTATGCCCGGCCAGCTGAACGTCCTTTTGGCTGAGGCTGGTGTACCCTATGATGTGGTACTGGAGATGGATGAGATCAATGAGGACTTCCCAGGTAAACTCTTCTTTTAAAAGACTTTCTATCAGAGCTATCAGGATATCTAGGGACAACCATGTGTTGTCACTTTGGCAGGAAGGTGTCAGATAATAATACAAGATCAATTATGTGTAATAATCTTTCCCCCCTTTCATCCGCACTTGGCGCAGCCGCGTGTTGTCTTGATATTTAGACATGCCATGTTATCAGGGCAACAGTCTTGTTTTCTTAGCAACCAGGCATGCAGTCTGAGACACATGGTTCTGTTTATGACAGAGGGAGATAAGTGTGGTGCTGGGGAACCCAATAACATTAGTGAGGAGGACAATTGCGGAGCATTCAGCCAGAGGTTTGTCTGTCTTGTGTATAAATGTGTAAACGTCTGTGGCCCACAGAGACAGACTTGACATTGGTCATTGGAGCCAACGACACAGTGAATTCTGCAGCACAAGAGGATCCAAACTCCATAATTGCTGGCATGCCTGTCTTGGAGGTGTGGAAGTCCAAACAGGTTGGTCTACCTTTTTTTTAAATTACCCTTGACATGTCACTGTATTTCTAGCTGTGTGATACAAAAAGTAACCATGTGACTTATTCAAACTCTACCCCAGGTGATCGTGATGAAACGTACCTTGGGTGTCGGCTACGCTGCAGTAGATAACCCCATTTTCTACAAGCCCAACACATCAATGTTGCTGGGCGATGCCAAGAAGACATGTGACAGCCTGCAAGCAAAGATCAGAGAGGCGTTCTACTAGTGACCCCTCATTAGCTTAACATCAAGGACAGAAGTTCTCAAGTACAGCGGCAGGTTGACATACAGATACTGTATTTCCAGTTTTAGCTTCCAGGGTATATATTTTTGGAGAACAGATTTATTGGGTCTACAACAAATGTGATTCTATTGCAAAGATGCCCCAGATTCATTAAGATGATTTGTTTTGAAAATAAGGGACATGAATAACTTAAACACAAATGTGAACTGATTTGTAAATAAAAATATTTAAATGTATCTGAAGTCCATTTCCTTGTACATTTTTGCATTTTACATTTAAAGGAATACTTCTCCTCCAAATTAACATTTTGTTTGTCAATTACTCACCCTGTGTTAAGTAGAGTTTGTGAAGAAAACTTTTTCTTGCATGCCCCTACAGTGGAATAGAGGAAATTCTTAAATTGAAATCATAGGGGTCCACGTTTAATAGCACAACTACATCAAACATTCATGCACAAACTCTCATACAACTTGTGCAGTATAATCTAAGTCTCATTTGTCCAGTCGTATTCTTAGTACTTCCAAACAGACAGCCTTTTCTAACAGAGAACTAAAATGAAAGTAGAACTTAACTATGCTCTCTTCAGAGCAAAACTCCACTGATAAAAACAGTAATTTTACCTCACTGAACACAGGAGCTGCCGGTCTACCACTTCCTCCATCAGAGTATAGTCCCGTTTCCACCAAACTCTTAAGGTATGGTACCTTAAGGTTTAAGAGACCTAGCATTTCCACCACAAACAGTACTCTTAAATGTGGGTGGGGTTGTTGTCACTCACTGCTCCATCCAGCACTCACTGTATTTCCTCATTATTGGTGACACAGATGGAAGTCTGCACCTTGTTTATTGTCCACAGAATGAGGCTGCACACAGACATTTTCAGAACAAAATAAAACAGGCTGCAGTGAGAGTCTCTCTCCATGGGATATTTAGAAATAGTCGGCTTGTGCATTTAGTCCTCCTCAGGCAAGCTCAGGGTTTTAGTGTTGCCATAGCATGCAGGAACACTGCTCCGCTTTTTTTTTTTTTTTCGAGTGAGGATTAGAATATATGCAGTTCACGTAATCTGGCTAAAATTAATATATATATAAATGCTTTAAGTTCCACTCATTACTAAAAGTGTATGTCGTATAAAAATTAAAGTGATGGCCAAAGTTGTCACAGTGAAATTTAAGGTGTGTTGATTGATTCATGTCGTCAGCTCATGCATTGAGTAACATTACAAGTTAACGTTCCACCTTAAAAGTCACCAGCAGTCAGCCCAGTGAATAATTGTTTTTGTTTTTCTCTGACACCAGGTTCTGAGGCAGCAAAGCATCCTTTCATTTTATAGTTACAGTTTACTTGGGAAGTACTGACTGAGCATACAACTGGATAAATGAGACTTGTTTTATACAACACAAGTTGTGTGGGAGTTTATAAATGGATATTTTGATAAAGGTTTGCTGTTGGAGCCCTATGACTTGAATTAATTAAATCTGTTTTTGGAATCTTCATTCACTGGAGGCATGCAAGAAAAACAGTTTTCTTCACAAATTCAATGTAACATGGGGTGAGTAATAGATATCCAAATGATCATGAGAGGTGAAGTCTTCCTTAAAGATTTAAATAGATGAATCATACCACAACTAAAATGGATTAAAGTGGGAAGATCAAAAATAAAATGCCCGAAAAGACTTACTTCTAAGAATTATGATTAATTCTCAGGGTCACACCAAAATTCACAAAACAATTTACATCAAAGAAAAAAAAAACAAGGTAACGCTGTTTTCCATGTGATTTTAAAATACCCCAATTAACTGTTTTTGTGTGTGTTTTTGGTTGATAGATTGCTACTGTCCAGTCTGTGTTAAAATTGTTGGATTTTTATTTCAGAGTTATATGTCTTGTATTTACTCATGTATCAAACACACCTCATTCATGTCTGGCGAGTGTCATGCCTCATGTTTTATTGCATATTCATCCAAAATTTACATCTTACAAATAGATGTCCCAGTATCCCTTACAAAATAAAATATCACTCAGCCATAAAATAAAATCGATCACACTGTTTGTCTCTCATAGCTGATTTCAGTTTTTCCTCGCAGCATTCCTCAGCATTTTCCAGCATCAGTCCTAGCTTTGTTGACAACTGAGTGCAGGTAGGAGTAGAAGAAGAGCAGGTTATCATATTCTCCGCTGTACTCCTGAGCGAGGCATTGCTCGTGAAAGTCCTTGAGGAAATAATAAATAGCCTCGATTGTAGCTAGGTAGGTGTCTGGTTTGCCCTTCTGACGGCGCCAGAAACACGTTTTCCTCGTCTTCAGCTCTACCCGGAGCAAATCTGCAGGAGAGCACATGTCAGTCAGAGAGCGCACAAGAGCACAGAGTGAGATCATGTTAAACACACTGTGGGTGAAGTGCTTTCACCCCTAATAATCACCAGCAGTCAGAGCTCTTTGAAAAGCTGCACAAATGCAATCTTTCATGATTACCTTGCAGTCTCTCGTCTGTGCTGATCTTGTTGGTCTGGTTCCATGTGCTGTCAATGAAGACCACCCTCTGTAGGGGATACGCCCTTGACTCCAAGCCCTTTGCTTCATCTGGGGTCCCTGACTCTGGGTCCTGTGCAGCGTGTGTGGCCCCTTGATCTTCCTCACTTTTCAGCCTCTTTACACAGGGTTCATCAGAGAAGTCATGTGACCTGCTATCAGTCATGTCATGCAAACACTGCATCATGTCATGTACTGAGACAGCCCTTGGCCCCGGGAACACCAACACCACCTGGAGAAAGCAGAGAGATATCCAATTCAGACTGGAACAACATCATACAAACCAAGACTTGAGTGTGAAAAATATGTTTCTAAGATAGAACATGTTGTTTCTACAATGTGATGATTTATATATAGCTAACTTTAGAAAGCACTTGAAGAGAGGAATACAGTTTGATAGGGACCAAATAAAGTTAAAAAATTGAAAACACAAGATAATTCATTTGGCTAAATCAGAAAGCAAGAGGCAAAAATTCAAAGTTGGAAACTGTCAAATACAATAAACACACAAGGCTTGTGCACCAAAGCCACTGTGATTCTGTAAGTCAAGTCAAATTACAGTATCAGATTATGTTTAATACAATTAGTGCTATGAAATTCAAACTTTTCCAGCATGAAATATGAAAATGCAACCCCTGACTGGGTCCTCTAAATCTGAAAACAGTAGAGATGATATGAAAATGTCCTCTCATAATTATGGTGACCAAAATTATCAGGGTTATCAGCAGTATTGCTGTAATGTTTAAAATGTGCTGATCAGTTCATAAGGTACTGATACACACACTGAAATCATTTCACCAAGTTTTAGATCGAAAAACCGCAAATAATACGAGCAGCTTGATGCACTTTTTGTTGGCATAAACATTAATATAATAACAAAGTCAGTACCTTATGTAAACGTGTACAAACCATATGTGCATTAACATGAAAGAAAGCTCCACGTGGACATGCGTCAGGGAGACTGTCGCTTAATTTGGTTGATGCTGGATGTTTTTCAAAGCACAGTAGAAAAAGAAACAATAATACTAACCGTAAGGAATTTTACCACAGTTTATCGTAAAATCTGTAACCTTTTCATCTCTAGAAGTATGTACGGTACAATATGAATCAAAACCTCTTGCTTTGTATTATTCATTCATTTTCCATAACTGCTTATCCTGTTGGGGGTTACAGGGGGGCTGGAGCCTATCCCAGCTGACACTGGGTGAGAGGCAGGGTACACCCTGGACAGGTCGCCAGAGTACCACAGGGCTGACACATAGACAGACAACCATTCACGCTCACATTCACACCTATGGGCAATGAGAGAACATGCAAACTTACTTTATATTATATTATTGTAAAACTGAATATCTTTAGGTTGTGGGCTGTTGAGCAGACACAACAAGACATTCGAAAATTTTATTCTGAGCTTCAGGAAACTGTAATGGGCAGTTTTCTTTATATCTGGTCTCTTTCAATTCTAGAGACTTAACAATCAATTAATCTGGAAAACAACAGGCCAATAATGACAATAATCACCGGTTGCAGCCATAAAGAATAAAGCCTCATAATGACACCCAAAGGTGCAAGTTAAATGTACAATACGCAAGATTGTCGGTTACTGTTTGTAAAGACGTTCGCCGGGGAAAGTGTAAGTAAAAGAGGAAAATTAAAAAATACAGACAGAGAGCAGTCTGTGCAGAAAAATACACTGCCACACACATCTACCGGGTCATTAGTTATGACTGAGAGGGATTACTTCTGTATGAGTATATCCATTGTTTTTTTGTTTTTTTTTAGGAAAATCCAGCACAGCATAGTATATCCTAAATAAACTCCAATATATCATGACAGAAAACAGCTAACCTTGTCCTTTTCATAGTCAGGTATGCAGGGGTAAGTGTATATGGTGACATCACTGGGTGCGAGGATCTTTGCGTGGATTGCAGTGCTCTTGCCATCTGTCTCATTGGGATGTTTGATGATGTCTACCTTCACAGGAAGCTGAGCAAAAAATACAATATGTACAGTCTGATCCAGAAGACAGGGAGGAGTTACATTTAAACCACACATTTCATAGATCTTAAACAAAACACATGACTTAACATTTTCCATCACATTAGAATACTACTATTACAGCAACTCCATAGCTGAAGGCCTCTCTTAAAAGAACAATCAAGAGAATCCTGACCTTCTACTGACCTTGATTAAAGGGATTTCTTGCCGGCTGACACCCAGTAATGAGCAGCATGTGTAGCAGAAAAACATCCTTGATCCTCCACATTTAGAGCATTTCAACCTGCCCCTCTCCTGCGCCTTCTCCAGCACTGCATGCGATGCCAATTTTAGATCTTGGAGAGGCTGCTTGGCAAGCTCACGAGTGTCTAATGAATCACTAGAGACTGTTGTTTTGTCACGGCAACTGGGATGGAGACGCTGGTCTTGATCCAGGCTGCTCATGCTTGCTCTTTTAATGTTGACAGGCCAGTGCTGAAATATGCGGGCCCTACATTCATAGCTGACCAAGAATGACAAAACAAACGATGCATATATTAGCAGACAGAAATAATCCAACATTTACATAACCACATAACTAAGTGAGCGGTACAGTAATGTGGAAAAACCATTAAACAAGCGAGTGTTTTTTTTTATCTAATAGGTCATTCAGAAGGTGTTTTTCAGACAAAAAGTTGAACTGAGTAGATATGGGGTATATTAAATAACACTAATAATGTGATGAGATTGGATAATGTGCAAGTTTTTATCATAATACTATGACGTAGCTTGAACGCTGTCTTTTCTTGGCTATAAAGATAAACTGCATTTCAGTGCACCAACTAAATTCCCACACATCTTCTCATATCATAAGCTTTCTGTTCAGGTATCTCAACTCCGAAATGAGCAGACCTAATAAACTCAGACTTGTAAATCAGTATCTCCTTTGAGCATCCATTTTAAAAAAGGAGACTGTCTTGTAATTTCATGTTAACTGAAAAATATCTGTGCATGTGTATGAATATTTACCAGTGATGTGTGGGGGATACATGCAGGTATGATGTATACCCATTTTTTTTCTGGCTGTTCTCAATATACCCAACTATCAGCCAAAAGCCATTAGAAAATATAGGAGAGTAGTACCTAACCTATCTACTTTGTAGTACATCCACCTAATCGACGACCACTGCACCACTGATATGTATGTATGCATAGTGGGATTATAATCATGAGCATTTTTTAGGTTCTGATTTTATTTTCTTAATTATGGTTGCTGTTTTGATCATTGTACTGACATTATTCATTTAAAATTAACTGTCCTTTTCCCTTGTTTTATTTTCATGTGATCAACATTTTTTTTACTTAGCTCTTCTCTTATTTTGGTTGCCTGGTATAAACTTTATTATTATCATGATTCATCATCATCATTAATAAAAGACATGCAATGTTCTGACCTTATTTGACTGTTCGTTTTTTTCTGCTTATATTCACAAAAACAAATAATGATCTGTTCTGACATCTCATTTATTCATTCCTTAAACATTTAAACATGAAAGCATCAACATTCACGATCAATTACTGACACAGTATGAGCCGACATCCATTTGATTTTGTCACATACATCAGTGGTGAGAAACAGGAAGTAACTGAAGAGGGAGGGACTTTCTGCATCAAAGCCCTAAACCAGATTTATGTCAGTCTACCAGCTAAAAATACTTTTGCGATTAGACAAAGTCAATAGAAAAACGTTTGCTACCCGAGACTAGATGCATATGGTGCATTAGCTAATACCACCGCATCTGGGCGAGAGCTAATGAATGAAGTGAAAGTGAGCTAAACACAAGCACCTACCGTGCTATTAACAGTGAAGCCTTAGGTTTCTCTCCCTTCTCTTTCGCTCAGTTGGATCTAACGATACAGTATATAACAATACATAAGCCCCTGCTTAAGTGCTGTAGATAACGTTACAATATAGCACAGCACCTGATTCAAGCTAGTGAAGCTAGCCTCTGTTAGCAACCTACAGACATGCTAAACATCTGTAGCATCTGCTACTAGCAGACCCAAATGATAGTGACTAGCAAGGTTAGCTACCGAAGAAAAAGCCAAACAGACGTTGTAGTAGTTTCAGTCGGGTTGCAAGCAACACGTTGTCCACTTTTTAGTCAATCGTGATAAAAACGTGCCTACCGGTATTTAGTATGTGCGTCAGCGTGAACGTCTTCTTCTACGCCGGAAACAGTGTTTCGCCTACAGGAAGGAGTGCTTTCGTTAGTTAGCCGTTGCTAAGCACCGAATTCCGAACGTGAGCTGTTGGGCAGTGACGTTACCTGCTGGTGGCGGACAGGTAAAGTAGCGTTGAGTAAAGTAAAGTAACGTTAGTAACGATGTCAGACGGGAAGAACCTTGTGACTGTTAGGTAGCTAAATAAATTAAATGTTAATTAACGGAAAGTAACGAAAGGTTAATTGTTAACGTAAACGTAGGACTCTGGGTTAGCTTAGTAAATATACTAAGATGTTTAAGCTAGGTTCAATGTTGAGTTAAATGACATTAGTTAAAGTTGCAATTGGCTAATTAACCGTCAGGGAACATTTTACTCTGTCAGTTTAAGTTTCCTATTGTAACATTTAGGGAAGTAGCTAGCTTTATGGTTAATGCTACTCATATGTTTTTCCCCATCAACAAATGTAACAGAACCAGCTTAAATGGCCAAGCATGTGTACATATACATAAAAGGAATTTGACTCTGGACTTTTGTTGCTCTCAGTGTACATACACAGAAATATTCACACAGCTAAAAACAAGGAGGACAAAGCTGAACAAAGTAAACATAAACATTTTAATATCTATAGATAGAAATAAATAAATATATACAATGTATGATGTATCCACAGTGTAACACAGTAGTAGAAGAGGTGCTGGAATAAATATGGGATGATTGGTGTAACAGGTTACTTTATATACATAATTTATGTGTTGTATTATTAATTTGAAAAATATTCACATTTCATTAACTTCTACATGACTCCAGGTTTGGACATATCACGAAAATACTAAAAAAAAGTTTGTCATCTGTCCCTATTAAAAAATATCAGCATATATGCAATATGTGTTATTTTCAAATGATTTGAAAAAAAATTTGTAAATTTAATTAGCTTGCGGCTCTTTGCTGCATTTCATCCCCCTTCCCACTGTTCACAGTATCTTTCCTTTCTAATGAAGGCAAAATGCCAAAAAAAATCTATCTATCTATGTATCTATGTATCTATCTATCTATCTATCTATCTGTCTATCTATCTATCTATCTATATTCTCTAAACACACTTCCCTCCCACAGAAAATATGTCTGTGAGTGATGAATACTATTATTTAATCTGTTTCTTGATTAACCAGAGTACATAAAATGGCACAAAAAAGTACATCAGGATTAGCTTGAGTTGAGAATAGCAGATTTCCTGGGCATCCCAATCCTTACAGTTATTGTATGTACAATGATGGTAATGTCACATTAATGCATTGTGCAGTCATCCTTTTGCAGTCTTAATTTTAGTCAGAGAAAACACAGAGAAAACCAGTGCTGATATTTGATAAAGAATATTATCTATTATCTAACACTTAGTATTACAAATGCATATGTAATTGCTAGTTCAGAGTATGATGTACTATTTATAATCTAATTTCCTGTTCTGTTGATACAATTCTAAATGGATGTTTTAACTATAGTCTGGATCAGACCTTTAATTGCTCTGGATGTCTCAGATTTTCCAGATATTGAAATGATATGATTGAAAATGACTACTTAAGTGAAATAAAATGGTAATGAAGTCAAACTATTATGCTTTGTTTTGATTATACAGCAGTGAAAATTTCTGGGACGTTGTGCAGCCAGTCATTCTAAAAGAAGCTGATGCTTAAGCAAAATTCAAGGTTCACAGATGATAACACCCCAATGTGGCCAATCAAAACTTGAAAGGTCAGTTCAGAGAATACTAGCATGAAATATTAGGCCTAATATGCATCTGTTGCATTGAAAGCCAGAAGTGCTTGATGTGATGTAAAACAGATTGTTTTATGTCAGATTTCAGAGATACCTGAGCTGTCACACTTTTTTATGAAACAGACAATCGCATGCAAACCTGCATGGCAAACAGATGTGTATCAAATGGGATCTTCCACCGTCTGTGATATTAGATTCCAAACAATCAGAAATCTGCCAAATGTGTGCTGCGTGCCAGGTTGCTTTTAGAATCATTGCAGTGAAATGTAGTTTTTCAGAAGTTGTCATATTTCTTACACCAAGCTTACCTGTCATCCCTGCAGGCTGTGTTATTCAGGATCTAGGAACCTTAAGCCTTGCTTAAAAACATCATCTGGCGGTTCCTTCTGCACAGGTTCAAGATGATTTTGCCCTCTTAAACTTCACAGGATGTTTTAAATTTGCAGATTTAGCCTTAGACAGGATTTAGGATTTTTCTGATAATACCTTGCGCTGTCCTTTGGTCTTTGTGCTCTGTGTTGCCTTTGGCATTAAACTGTCACAAAGCTAGACACAACAATATCATGGTTGAGATCCATCTGCCTGCATCAGACATGAATGGATTGACTGTTCCTGTCATGTCTTATCATTAAAATTCAATTCTTTTTCTGTTTAGTCTAATGCAGAGGAATGAAAAAACAAACTGCATGACAGCTTCATTTCAGGAATGTTTGTTTTACTGATGACAGCAGTCCAGATAAATTTCCAAGAAAACTGTTACTGAATCATTATTTTCCTCTGTATTCTGTGTTGTTGCCAGTTACTAAAAACAGTCAGAGCAATGAAAATATTAAATCAAACATTTGAAATAAGGTCTTTCAGGTGCATCCAGGCCTTATCGGCCTACGCAGTCAGCATAGCATTTTACTGAACATTCCCTGAATCAAAGGAGTGACTAGATGACTGGGCTAACCTTTTAGTTTCCTTGCCTTTCTCAGGTCACCACACACTGATAACATATACATGTAATGCCTCCCAGACTGACAGACTTTCCATATTTGACATATGAGTTTTTGAGCAGTTGCATCGTGTGCTTTTCAGGCATGAAGCCCAAATTCCTTTCATGGCAACACAGGAACTTAAGTTGGCCCACCACAGCAGCTGGAGATGAATCTAAAGAGAGGAACCCTGCTCATGGTAAGACTCAAAGTGTGTTTTTGCACTTGTGTACCTTCCTACTAGTGCATACATATGATAATGAGCATTTATGTTGTGTGCCAGGATAACCTCCTGAAACCCAGAGTGATTTTTGCTTGGAAGAATTTTACGCCAAGTTCTAAGCCTGCTAAGCATCCATAATATGTTTGTGAAAGCAAACTGAAAATCCAGCATGCTTAAGTCATAAGCTTTTATCATACGTGATACAGTGGCTTTGTGTTGCAAACTATCCCTCATTTGTTATTTAACTGGATACGTCTTTAAAAGCTATAAAAGAGAGCATAAGACACTGAGCATACTCAATAACAGCATGTTCTTCCAACAAGTGTCCCTTTTTCTTTGGATAACCCACAGATCCTGCTGTCAATAGTCTTTATCTGGGCTATTTATATAGTAGAATGTATTTCCAATCCAGTAACCATGAGGCAGCAGCAGGGTTAGAAAAATTTGCTAACCAATGCCAGCACTTCTCTTTTAATACAAAAGTTTCTGAGATTTTAAGTTTTCAAAACAGGCAGTGTATTTGCAAGGAATTTCTCCTAGGCCCCCGAAATAACCACTGAACACTACTTGGTTTACTTTCTCAGCATCTGAAAGACAAAGGGAGCCTCAAACTCTGTTGTGCCAACTCTATTGTGGAGCTGACAACACATTTGTTGCCCAGATAAGCAAGCTAAGTAGCCAACTTAAAAACCACTGTTAATGCAATATATGAAACATAGCAGATATCAGCATTTTGAAATCATCCAACGTTACTCTCAATTTGCAGCAATTCTAAAAAAAACAAGTATAGCCCCTTTATCCTATGTGTCTTTTCAGTGTGGTGAACAATGTGTCAGTGTGACCTTTTTGTGAGTATATCCCAATTCAGTTAACCATTACTGTAATGCACCTGTTGACCTTATAGATTACTGTATAGAAAGTTTTGATCCAGAAGCTGGGTTGTCAGTTCACCTCCTCTCACACTCGTCAACATGTATTTTTGTCCAACAACAGGAGCACACAACTGCATACAGTGATAAAGAGACAATGGCTCATTACATCTGATTAGTGATGTGGGAAGCAAAGCTTTCTGAAAGACTTACTCACTATTTATTAAGCGGGGTTGCAACAGTATGAGATTTTCACAGTGCAATAACCATCTTAGTGAGTTCCATGGCTTCACAGTATACAACATTACCCTATTATTATTATCTTTTTTATTATTGTTTGCAGTTACACAGACCCTTCTGTCGAAGCAGAATGTATGTGACTGACTGGCAGTCAAGCAGGGAAGAAGATATGCAGCCACAGGTGAGATTCTCCATATGGTCCCTCGTCCAACACTGCAGATAAGCAAATGCACAGGGTATGATAACCGCCAATTTTCATACCAAGATGTACCATTTTCACTGAATACCGCTGCAACTCTATTATAAGCAATTGTGTTGAAATTAGCCAACTGTTTCAAAGTATTTGAGACAGTCAAAATGGTAACATCTGCTGGCCAAATTCCTGGTACTGCATTCCTTCAAATTGATTAAATTGGATAGTTCAGACAATCAGTTTTTTGGCATATCCAGATTGTGACCGAATTGATTTTAGAAATTCTGGACAGTAAAAATAAAACCACATGAAATGCAGCTTCAGCAAATTAGATCCAAACAACATTAGTAGGTATTAGAAGATTTACTGTGGATGTGTCTCAGTCTGCACACTCTGGTCACTCTGATTAGATTTCAAAATGTCCTTTGCATTATTTGACAGAGGTGCTGAGCAGAATCCACACTGCTACTATGGAGGACAACACTCCATGGACAGACACCGAAATAAATTGTTTGCTGTCACTTGGCTGGCAGCGTCAAATAATCATACTTGACAGCACGATTGATTGGAGAGCGAAAGGATGAACCTCTATTCAGGTCCCCAGAAAGTGCATGGGGCTTTAAAGCCAATTTTCATAGTGGTCAAACAGTGGAATTATGACTTTTAGGTCCATCACGTGATGCGTTTGGGCTCAAAAAGGCTTTTTCCCATAGACCTACATTGTGAAAGAGACGTCTATACCATCAATACCCACTGAAATGACTTGTTTCATTTTGGGGATTTGGTCCATTCAGTTCAATAAATGAAAATCTAGAAGAGCCATCGATTAAATCATTTTATCCCGATCCAAGTTAGCGGAGGGCTAAATTAGCCACTCAGCTTGCAAAGTCTGTAGTGCACCTGCTTTATGGGCCGAACGATGCAGTAGATCTGGGTAATTTTATACCCAGAAGGTCAAATTTTTAGGTTTCATGCTCCACTGAGCAACTTTAATAGGAATGAACAGGGCTCTGCCTCCAGCGCTGTATTCAGCTCTCTTAATACATCCATGCCTCCATTCGTCATGCTTCTGCATTAGGAAGCAGCTTCACCAGCATAGCTACATGAAAAACTGATGCCAACGTTGTTACCATAGCAACCCATGCAGATAGGCTGATGTTATCTCGACACACAATTCAGATCTGATCACTTGCAAATAATGGGCAGTCTGTTTTAAAGATTCTGATTTGCCTGCAGTCTTAGCGTAGCCTTTGTCAGAATACAAGAGGTCTTACTGCTCTCATTATTGTTATTTTGTTTCATGTATCTTGTATCTGCTTTAAAAAGACAATGCCATGTTGTATAGTCTGCTTCAAGCGCAATACCTCTAATGCACACAATGTTTCTTGTCTTTTCTTACTGGAACAAGTACACTTAGTAATCCCTCTAAAGGGCTGTAAACATGGAGGACTGATTTAAAGTCAGACAGATTCATGACAGGTCCGGAATTGTGTTACTTTACCAAGTGTAAAGACATGTGTGACTCATTTGCTGTGAACTCTTTCTGATTTCCAAAATGTGGCCCTCAAGATAACATAAGACTTGCTAAACTGAGTGAATGTAATTCACCTCTTGTACAAGATGTTGAAGATGTTGACAGTGTTAGAGAGGAAGGTACTGCCAAACTTTGCATTTTTGATACAATGGAGCACCTCAGTTCTGTGGATGTAGAGTGGAAATGAAAACTGGGACATGAACAGATAAGGATTATATGACCATGATTCAACTCAATTTAGGGGAAAGTTTAATACAAAACAACTTTCTTAACTTTCCAAGTATGTCAAAAAGTGGGATACATGCACAAATTTGAAAAGTATTCACCCTTGATCTTTGCCTGGCTCTTCCAACTAGAATATCTAGAAAATGTGATGTGAGTAGTGGGTAGACCATTTGATAAAGATGGACGACATTAGAGCTGTGAAGTTTAGCTAACTGTAGCTAACTTGTTTATTGATTGTTTGGTCTGTGACGTAATAGGTCAAATAGAAAAAGGTCCAGTACTAACAGGGTGACAGGGATCATATCGCCACCTATCGTAGCAGAGTCGGACACACTTCAGTCAATAAATCAAATCCCCTCCTGTGCTTATACTGGGACATAGACAGTAGTCCAAATACATGGCCAGAATCTATGTGAATATGATTATAGCACAACAATGATTAAACGTGGAGCGTAAACACACTGAAGCAGAAAGTTGCAGTTTGAGAAACTTTTAAAATCAAGAATATGTTAACAAATGTCTATCCAGCATTTCAGGCTGTCTGTGTGAATCTGTTCTAGCATAAGATTTTTGTCTGTGTTGACAGTAAACCATGTGATCCACCACACGAGCCCTAACAGTCTTTTTTGACTCCAAATATGGCCATACTTGTGGAGTTCACTCCAATATTCACAAATATGGTGTTGGGATGAAAACAAACTCCGATGTCCATATGGCACAACACCAAGAAGTCATCAATGCTGTATTTGAAAACTATGAGAGACACCATAGCATTTCATTGGAACTGTATTGCTTTAACTTGGGTCCAACCTGCATGTTTAGAATAGTGGTCTACTAATTGGGTAAAATCTGTCCATAAGTTATTATTTGCTCCTGTAGTGTTGTAATTGAGGCATTTGTTTTATCTGTTGGTGGTTTGCCAATGTAGCATAGTTAAAATAGCCTTTGAAAGCCAGCAATGCCAGCTGTCATGGTGGACTAAGTCAGTAGTCTTGCAAGTCTTAAGTGTTGCAGGTGATTATAAACACCGTCTTTTGATCAGAATTTATCATCTTCCTGCGTGCATTTAATTTACTTTAAAGTAAAGTGTGATGTTGCGGTAAGTGTGCTGGAGGTCCCAACCCTCTTTCACAATGATCTGGTGTTCTGGGGGGTTCCGTACAAAGGGCTGCAAACACAGAATTCCCCACGTTGCATAACCACAGATTTCCTCGGGGGAAATGAAGGTTTACAGCCCTGAAATGTATCAAGTTCAGCTGTGTGTTCCCCCTCCCCCTCCTGGCCTCCCCTTTCTCCCGCTGCCCCAAGACCACCTCTCCTCATCGCACGAGACTCCCCAGCCTCTCTCCCTGTTTAGCTTCACTTGTCTTTCTTTCTCATCCAACCTCTTCTCTGCTTGTCTCCATCCATCCTTCCCTGCGGTGTTATTCACAGCCAGCGTCAGACTTGCCTCAACCAGACGTTCATCTGCACGTGCTGTTTGTAATATGGCACGCATGTGGTTTTCATGTTTCCACACAAATGCAAATATAATACTGCTGTTTTAAAGCATTGCAATGAATAAGTACATTATTGTCTTTGAGTCATTATTCATCCCAGGAGGTCCATGAAACTACACAGTAGCTCTTTAGCTGCTTTTTTGATCAGAGGAAATGATCAAGTATTGACAGAAAATTGTACTTTTGCTGTGCTTTATAACTATTGCAGGCCGTGGTCACTACTGATGTTCTATCAGCTAATATAAATCATTATTAACCTATACATCTGACCCTAAGTTATGACTGCATCTGGTAAACAATTGCCGATATGTAATTATTAGTAATGCAAAATAAAAACTATTTAGACATGCTGTCTAAACAATCTACTGGCATACGTTCAGTGCTGACATTACAAGGCAGTATTTTTGACTGTAAAGAAACTCTGTGTCGCTGCTGGAAAGACTACAGCTGGTTTCATAATTTTGCTATTTGATAACTAATGATGAACAGATGAAGAAAATTGCATGGGAATCCCACATTTTGTAAAAAGAGAAAAAAAAAGCTTTAAAAAAGTATTAAAAGGATTTGTGATTTCAGGAGCAATTTATTAAACAAAATCTGTAGGTCTTGGAACACCTTGTAAATATTATTTATGTGTCTGGCGTGCCTGCGTTGCGTCTTTTTTTCTCGGAAGTCTGTTGCTTCACGTCTGTGACAGTTCTCTCTCATTCTCCTTGGCTTTAGCCTCCCCTCGTCCTGCTGGGAATACACAGCCTTGAGTCTGAAATGTGTTTACATTTTGAGCATGTTACAAATTATCTGCTAAGACTAACTTTGCGTGACTTGGCAGAAGCCTTCACCTTGCTCAGATGTTGTTTGGGTCAAACGTATTTCAGGGGTTTGCTCTCTCAATTTGACTGTCTATCTGACAGGGGTTCTCCAAGCCAGATGTGAACTCAGGCGAAAGGTAAATCTCGTGCTGTGTCAGTGTGTGTGTATGCGTGCCTGCATGCACGTGTATGAATCTATGGTGTAGGCAGCCTGCCAATATGTCTGTGATATTTTTCTGCACTGACAAGACTCCACTTGTACTCAATACAATATAAACCCACAGGGAATTAACATTTGAACCATGTTGATGTATTTTTATCTTCCATCATAAATGAATAGATTTATCCTCACATTGTATTACCACATCTCAACCTCCCTTATCAGATTGAATGACCTTATTCATGCGTTTCATGTGTGGACGATTTTCCAAGCACACTTAAGTTTTCCCAAACGTTTCTTTCCAATGTGTATTCAATCTTCTTAAAGAGAACATCAACAGATTTGATTATCTTGTCATTAAATCAGCTTAGCTGGCAAACATACAGCTTAATACCTCCAGAGGACTGCAGACATATCAGAGTTTGAAAAACCAGTCGCTTAATACGTTTTCTCTACAGGCTTGAGCGTAATATAGAGTTACAGGCTGAATAACCCCAATTTTATCAAGTGATATTCAAAGATAAGGTTATGACTTATCCTCCAACAGGCATTGTCTAATAAGATCAAAATTACAGCAAATGTCAGATCATGCATTTTGTACTTATTCAACATAATAGTTTTATTATGTACCAAGAATGGGGCCAAATCATTTAAGATTACAGATATTTTAAAAGTTGTTACTGAATAACAAAGTCATCTTTCTTTTTAATGGTCAGCATGCAAATAGTAAAAAACTTTTTTATTCCATTTTTCATTTGGATTTATTGAGAGTGTGTTGAATTTTTATCACAGTTTGTGGGTTGAATACAGTTCTCTTCACCTTTCTCCAGAGCTTCAGCTTCATAGCTTTATATGTGGCAGAATAAAAGCATGGTTCATTTCATGCATTAAGTCATAAGTTGCTAGTACTGCCAGATCCATTAAAAATCAACACTGCTCGCAGACTGGGGTGGTACATTAGTAGGTGTCTGGTGTGAAAAACCAGCTTGCTGATGAAAGGTGAAACATTCAGCAAGTCAACCAGATACCAAAACTGTCAGACCAAAGCAGGAAAGAGTACCTGTGAATATTGGAATACATCAAAATTTGACAGGCAAGTTTGTGAGCTTGCTTAGAGTCCTTAATACCCCCTAGTGGTGTAAAAAAAAAAAACATGAGAAACTTTGGTAGAATATTGCACATTGTAAGGAAAATGGACACTTTAACATACAACTAAAATGTTTTATATAAATAACTTACAACTATGAATGATGATGTAATGTTATTTTAGGGCCTGTATTGGGATATTGTAATGATGTCATGCAGATACTTGGCCTTTTCAGATGGAAAGTGGAAAGGAGTGTTAGACATGATAAAGATAAATGCGCCTCCCGATACATTTTTTGTTGAAAGCTCATTTGCACAGGACTAGCATTACATGATGACCTCTGATAATTTGCAGTAAATTCAGAGGTCATCTGTGATTTTAATCTCATGTCAAGTCCATAATTTGTCAAGTAAAATCTTCGTGATTTGGGGTTGTATTTAGATATTCTGTTTTCTCCACACCTTGTTTTTGCCTCTTCACCAGTTGAGAACTATAAAGGCTGCATTGACGGTTATACATCAATGTTTTGACAGCATTTTGGGTGCACAGCATGGAGTCCAGTTTGCAGAAAAAGCATTATCAAATCAATCAGAAGAGAGAAATCTTGAACGATGATGAGATGGATAACGTGACAGTGTGTGGCAGATTAGTGTAGCATCATAGCCTGGGGATGAGGCCAGTAAATTCGAGTAAAATACAGACTTCGCCAATGGGGGTGTGATTTCTAAATCACGAGGTTCCCAGGTAAGACTAGTCCCATGCAAATAGGGCTGTAGTCATACTTGTAATGTCTTGACAAAACTCAAAAACATCTCCTTATTCATAAATATGTGATCTTTTGGCAAACATAATTATTAACTCTGATGGAAAGAGATTGCATAGCATACACATTTATTATGTAGTTCACTTTGTATTTTAATCTGGATATCATTTCAGCAGCAGCAGAATATTTTAGCTTTTCAAAATCACACCTTGATAATGAAGAGGGAGTCAGTGAGCAGCTACAATGCATTTGACCACAGTCTGGTCGTCAATGCAAGAAGGACAGACAGATCAAAACAGATCATCCACAAACAGATTGTCCTACAAACTCTAATTTTACTGAACATGCCATTGTAGTTTATTGTGCCTCTGTTGTGTGTGCTCTGAGCACTTGTACCAGTAAAAAAAAAAAAAAGACAAGTCCAGCTTGCTTCAGCACATCTTGGTCGAGCCAAATCTCCGTTCTGGACCTCTTCGTTGATCATACAGGTCTCCTCATCTGGCTGGGTGTAGATCATCTTTGGAAAAGCATACAGTCCCGACTGTGCGTAATACATTTTACTGTTTGATAAGAAAACACTTAACTGTTTTATAAGGAAATATAATATTTAACTCAAAATAACAATAACATTGAGTAGACTTTAGTGGTTTTACGGTTGGTGTACCAGTTGAAGCTATGTCAAATATTTCCGTGTTTCGACATCATGTTTGAGGATGTTTGGAATAGTTTGATGTGCCCATCTGATATCGGTTGCTTATGAAAATTACAACATGTTATGGAACCTTATATAACTAACCTACGACTGATTGTGGAGCGTGATGTTGGTAATGAGTTTACATGTGTCTGTTAACATATATAATATGTGACGGAAATCATACACAAATAGTCCTTTTTAGCTTTTTCAGTCCACCCTCCGGTCCTCCTCCCTGCACTTAATAGGGATGAAGTGAGATGCTATATGCTCCCTCCTAGTCTTCTTGCCTCGCATTGGCCGTCCTTTCTGAGACAGAGCTATGAACATTTCTTTGCCATTTTTAGTCCACTTTGCAGAGGAGTAAGCATTGAAGTAGTTTTCTAGGAAAACCTCCTTGAAGTTGCAGTTTTCATTGTAGATCCTCTGTAAAGGACAGACGGACATTAATACAATCAGCATTTGTCTTCACTGTCAGTTCTTGGTCTTGGTTATGAATGTTTTGCAATAATTGTTTTATTTATGCTCGGCTGTTAATCATCTGAAAACAGTGCATGACATCTCTCACTGAGGAAAAATATTACCTTGCCTTGCAGCTGTCCAGCCTTGTTCATAGAGATATAATACTGACTCTTCACGCCTTTGATAGCCAGTACACCCCCCTCAGACACTGTCCTGATCTCCAGGATACCTGCCAGACATTCACACAGTTAGTCAAAGTGAGACATATCACAGGACAGATAAGACACTGTCGACATCCAGCCTTCACTCCAGCTCCGCACTGCGCGCGACATTCATCTTCATTAACAAACAGGATGAAGGTTCCTGTGGTTAATCAGTCTGTGGTTTCTCTGGCTTTATTCAAGCCTTGTTAACTGGCCTGGGTGGCCATTACACAAACCACAACCTATGCCATAGCACATATGGGAGACAGATTAGGCCTCTCTCTCCTGGGATTGAGAAAACTACCTCCTTGCATGAGCTTTGCACGCTACATTTTAGGCCTGCTCTTCAAGTCTGTGGGAGAGTAAAAACACTTGTGCTTAAGTATTTTGGTTTAAGAACAAATGGTAGTTGAGGTGTTTGACCTCACTTGAAAGTGAAGGAGCTAATTATGTTGCAGGGCTTATAAGAATGCATCTTTATTATTTCACGCAATAGATCCATGAATCTCTTATCATTTGTCCAGCAGTTGTAGACATCTAATGCTGTCTCATCATAGAAAACATCACTATATACAGTATATACTGCTCAGTTCTTGTGATTGAAAGTATGGTGCCACTGCTATCCATATAAAGAAGAGGGGGTTGCACGCAGAAATGTATCATTCACTAAGTTTACTAAATCATTTGTCTGGCAATACACAAAATGTTTTCAGCCATCCAGACTTCATTGGGATGTGATTATGTTCCTATTACAAATATGAGGAATCATTAAACATTAGTTCAAAGACAGCAACAAGTACCAGATCAAAGATTTTTAGTTAATATAAAAGCCTTGTTGTTTGTGCAAAAATTCTTCATTTGACAGTCAGAGAAAAAAAGGGAAGAACTCCATTGAAGGTCTTCAGACTGACATTGAGCATGCTGCATTTTAGTGTTTGCGTGATCACAAACAGATGGCAGAGTCCCAATCATGGAATGTTGTTTGTGCTCTGCTTGCACTTGATATTTGACTTAATATGACTGCCCTTTGACTGTATGATCATATTTATTAAACCCTGATTTTCTATTCCTTGATCATGACGTAAAGAAGTGTCTCACAGCCTTCTTCGTGTCAAGGACCCCTGAATTGATACACATTAGGTCACTGACCCCCAGTTGATAAGATATCACTTCAGGGACCTTCATATGAAAAGATTTTGGCCGTTAGATATGATTAAGACCAGAATTGTATTGTTGTTAATGCAGCTGAGGAGATAACTGTGGAGGAAGTGGAACCTATGATCGGAATAATCACTCTTATGACTCTCACTCACATCGGGCTCACTTCTGTAGTGAATTAAATAGTCAGAATAAACTGTTCCCCATTTTTTCTGGGGACCCCTTTGAGGTCCCTGAAGGGGCTTCCTGGACTTCTGGCTTCAAGTAAAGCTCAATTTAACACAGTCAGAGCTACATCTCCATTGTTAACCCCTTACACATTCAGAGTCAGCTGACCTTCATTTCCTAATAAATCCCACATTGGTGGCAGCTGTTGATGCAACTGCATGTTTATATCCCGAGTAGGGATTTCACTAATCAAAGTGCTTGGATTACTGTGTTTTTATGGTTGTTAAAAAGCATGAAAGTGTTATTCCCATAATATTACATGTAAGAGCTACAGTTGTTTGGTCTACTGTGGAAAGATGGAACACATTTCCACACACATGCACACGCACATATTGTTAACATTTTGGCTCTGACGCAGACAGGCTATCCTCAGCTTGAACGGATTTGTCATCACTCGCTGTTCCGGCCTCTGGCTACGTAAACTTACTTGTGGGTAATCCCTAATCCTGCTTTCTGTTAACGAAGCTTGAATCAATTGTTTACATTTGGCGGTAAAGATAATGCGTTGTTGAGATTAATATTGACTGCTCCATACTAAATACCTAATGTCTAGCAATCACTTTATCTCAAAATGCAAACTGACTCCTTATCCACACTGAAATTACAGCAGACTCCCTGTCTTTATCAGATTATTTCTATTTCACTTTGACGTTTATCAAATTACAATGAATTAAATTGCGAGTTTTGGATTAATTCAGTCCCTCAGTGAGTTTTATTTTGTTGCTCCTGACACAAGGTTTATTATGTTACCCACTTATATAGTTACTGCCTTTGAATTCCCTGTTTTACAGTTGTCATGCTGTGGTTTAGAAGTTGCTGATTGCCTACTTGGAAGCTGTTTATCTGCTCTTTGCTGTGGCTTAACACAACTTTTTATTGATATTATTAACACATTTTTGTGACTCAATTTAAGCCATGACACAGCCTTTCACTTAAACACAAACCTACACATGTTAGTAATTACCATTTCCTATTTTGTTAGCAGTGGATCTATTATCTTATAAGTAACATGTGTTTGTTTGCTTTTGAGGATTTGTTTACACATTCAGAACAAAACTGTCCTGGAGACTGCTGCAAATACCTCTGGCCACAATGCAAACATTATTATTTTTAGAAACATTTCTGCAACATTTTTTTTCTATGATGCACAACATCAGTGTTAGACATTTCAGTTCTCTGTGCAACGCAGATACAGAAGCTTCGCAGAATTAACAAAATCCACATTGTAGACGTTTTGATTTTTGATCCAAACAATCCTTTGAAATATAGTAAAGTTGGAAAAAACTTGTGTGGTGCAAGAGATGAGTTCACTGGAAGTAAGCCTATATTTTTGTTGCAGGGGCACATGGAATGTGGAGGCCAAAAATAATGTCGCTCCAAGTTTCTCATTTTGGTTTCTTCTCTTTTTTTTTCTTTCTCGTTTTGTAAAAACAAAACAAAAAAAGAAGTCTTTTTGCAATCAGCTTTTCAGGACTTCTTGTTCACTGCAGCCAAAAAGTATGATTCACTGATTTATTACACATATATCTGCACCACGATGGTCTCTTCAAAGGCTTATTGGTTAAATTTCTGTGTTCTTTTAGCGTGCGATTGTCAGCCACATATGGGTGTATCAATTTTTCTGTCTCTCGTTGCCAATTGTTGCACAAGCATCTTTTCCATCCACTTTGAGGCATTTCCCTGTCAAGCCAACATTCCAGCCACAGCCACACTGTCAGATAGGAGGAAATGATAACTACTTAAAACATCCTCACCGTGACAGAGATTTCCAGTGGTAAGCGCGAGCTCTCCAGCAACAATTTTTACAATTCACCATGTTAGATTACAATTACCATGGCTATTAGGTAAAATTAGCCACTCAGTAGTGAACTGGCATGCTATTATAACAAATTTTGCTACAGTAATTTTGGACTAGGCACAGCATGGTGGCTGTCTTTGTGCAAGTTGTCCATTGTTAACCATAGGTTCATTAGAAATCATTAATTTCTCCAGGTCTTTGATGCCATTTCTTTGTCCCAAGATATCATGCTGACACTTTAAGTTTCTGGGAGAGTAAATCAGGCTGATCACGTGTAAGTCCGAGGTCACAGGGGCCTGGCACCTATCAGACTGCGAGACCCCTCAGTTTACTTCATTACAGCCTGTGTTTTGATGGTGTTATGGTTTAACAAGCCAAAGCTCCCACCTGCTTCATTTTACCTCTGTCACTTTGGATGCTCTAACAGAGACACATGACCCATTAACACTGTGATTACACTACAAAGAGCTCTGCACAATAACACCTCCCACATGCTTCTGCCACCTTGACAGGCCAATGGATCTTCAGTGACTCAGTGGAAAGATCTCACAACTCAACTCAAGAATTATAACTTCTTATAATTTCCAATTCTAGGACTAAATTCACACCAAAAAATCAAGTTAATTCACATTTGGAAAATATCATATGGTATTTGTTTATTACTAATAACTGCAGAGGAACTCATAGCAAAACACTGGTAAATCAAAAAGAGTCATCCTTACTGTAGCAGTTGGTGGGATCTTGAGTCCCGGTGATGTTGCCAAAGTCATCAATTGTTAGGAACCACTGTGTGCGGCTGAACAACTGACGAATGCGCACATCCCCGCCCTCCATGTAGTCGTAGTTCCTCGTGTGGCGCTCGTGTTTGGAGCAGTTCATGATGGCAGCAAGTTGCTCTGGAGTGCAGTCACTGTAGACCACACACACACTGCCGAACAAGAAGATTGCGTGCAGGTACAGTCCCGGGAACAGATATTGAAGGTTCCATGTCAGCACCCATTTGCGCATTATAATACAATGCAGTGGGGATCAATGAACAACATACTTAAATGTGAGATAGAGATCTGCGCGCTATCCCTCAGCCCAGTGACCCCATGATCCCTGACTTGTGACCCTTGTGTTGGTCCCTGTTCTTGCAGCAGGGGTTCCTAATGGGACCTTGAGACTGGGTGGTTGTGGAGGGGACTTTGTGGAGCTGGTTGTGGTTGGCTGAAGCTGGAGAGTGGTCTGAAGAGGACAGGGATGATGAAGTCTCTCTTTAGTCCTCAGTGAAGGTCTGCGTTGACTGCTCCATCCTATTGAGACCGTAGTCCGAGAAGAGACGTCATAATCCAGTTTACAAAATGCTATGCAGGATGTCAATATAAAATAAAAAGAAGACTGGTTTAATTCTAGCTTGCTGTCGGAAAAACAGACCCACAGGTGCAGTTACAAATTGAAGGTTTTCCTTAAAGCTGCTTCAAAGAAAACAGTAAGTGATTACAAGGATTTACCCACTTAACTTCACATAAACAAACACCTTTCAAAGAGATTCTCATTTTCTGTGTTCATACAAATATAAATTGCACATTTCCTAGCAATAAATCAAAATTTCTGTGGTGCACTTTGACAGGCAGATGTCTCCCGGTCTTGGACCCAGAACAGTGAAATATTGCGTCAATGCTGTTGGATTGCTTCACAAGTCTATGGTCTGTAATTTCCTCTGTATTAGCATAAATACAGTATGTACTTTAAAACAATAATGCTGTTTTTCAAACAAACAAAAACAAAGTGTAGTTTAATGACTTACATGTGCTCTGTGATGACAGGAGTTGTCAAAGATGTGTTCCCTTTCAGAGAGAGTTTTAATTTGAAGTCTCTGTAATTCTAAAGCTGTAGTCTCAGTTGTAAACCAAGCCCAGTAGTGCAGTAAGGCTAAGCAAGAGCTTGGAGCTTCTGTCAATTCCCATGGATGTCTCCCTGATTCTGGCAGGCTGACTCTGTGCATCTTCCACTGTTGCTGTGCACTCTGCTTAGATAAATGCCTCCTGCTGACCTCACTTGAGAGCAATTAGATCCCAACCAGTCAGCTGTCCCTGGCTGAGGTGCAATGGAGAAACACCCTCTGCCTGCCTCTCGCTGTCACTCACCCACTGGACATGAGAGGGAGCTATAAACTCTCAGGAATAGCAGGCTCTCCTTGGTATGCACTCCTAAATACTTTAAGAACATTTGCATGCACACTCAACCCTTGCAGAACTTACTACAACCTCTCTGGCTTTTTCAAGAAACATCTTGCACTTAAATAGGTTTGTGCTAAACTTGTTACAGATCTCATAATGACTCACATCACGATATTTGATAGATATTTGCTCTGATGACAAAGCTTTGAAGAATTTCTTCCCTATCATTTCAAATGTCACAATTAATTAGTGGTTTTACATAGCTGCACTTAATCATTGGTGCAGATTTATTGACTCAAGTAGTTCAAGAACTTCAAAGAAGCCCTTTAGTTCTTGTTCTTATTCAGTGTAGTAGTGGGAAGCAATATGTTACTGCTGGCAGGTATCCATCCAAAGGGAGAAAAACAGAAGACATGACTGCTCAGAAGTAGTCATCTCTGTGTCAGGGGTCGTGCACTCTTTCACTTTCCGTGTTTGTATTTAAAGTCACAATTTATTGCCTTTACATACCTGGCCTTTCTTTGGACTCACCACTTCAAAAGTTTATATGGGCCCTAATGACGTGCTCCCCTGTGGAGGTCAGGGCTGCAGGCCTGAGCGAGAGGGACTTCTGGCTACAGCAGGTCTCCTTCTCATCTCTAAACTGGGGGTCGTAAAGACCTGATCTATTAGGTGTCACACTTGTCTGTTCATCTGTCCCTTCTATCACCTTAGAGACTGCTTACACTTTGGTCCTTTGGACACACAGGACAAGGAAACAACATATCACTTCAGGCAGCCACAATATTACAAAACCAGAGAACCAGGCATTAAAATGAATGCAAAATCCTATTTTCTTATAAAATATTTTAATGCAAATCTAAATCTAAATCCATGACATACTGTATGTGTACATTAAAGGCAATACTTTAATGTTTAAATCTTGAATAGAAATATTCTCCAGACAGGTAGATGTCAGTTTATAAAAAAATTTCAGAGCCACTATCAAAAAAATGCCACCTCATAGTAGAGAGGTTTTTGTGTTTCTCAGAGCTGTGTTGTCAGAGGCAGGTAGCACCTGGTAGGGTCCCCTAGGGCACATTTCTGACAGGACAGAGGCCAGACAGGGCGATTCCAGGACCACTATGAATTAGCCTTAACAGAAATGAATGACCTTGCCTGTAATCGGGAAACTGGGCCCCCTTCTGTAGACAGGCCTGTTACGGGAGACCCCAGTGGCAGGGCCTGGTTATGCTCAAAACAATGCAAGAGCTCACTTCCCGTAAGGTTCTGTGTTGGGTTTTATTGCCGTGTCAGTTGGGCAACAGGTGGGACCTTCTGAGGACTGACCCTTGGCTTTTAAATGCCACTTGTCTACCGCTTTGTTGGAGGACGAGAAAAAGCCCCATTGTCACAAGGTGCAGTGTTGCGTGAACATTTCTTAAGGATTGAATTCAAATTACTAGGGTCTCTAGTACACTGTGACCCTTAGCTGCTGTGTGGCCACAAGCTAGTGAAAGAATTAGATTGTAAATACAAGCAGCTCACCATGAGCTAGATATCTACAGCCAGGAACTAAGATATTCCAAAATTTAGACTAAACCAGTTGCGCTATCATTTTGAAAGACGCCAGTTGAGGTGAGTCTGGCATCTGATCAGTATGTCTCTCAGTGGAGGTATTTCTGGGTCCTATCTGCCTTGAGAACACCTCTGGATCTCCCAAGAAGAGCATGACATGGCTCATGAGAAGGACATTTGGGATTATTTCCCCTGCCTGGTGCCACCACAACATTTATGCAATGTAAAATGAAAGGATGAAAGGCTCTACTGCTTTACCACTTCCTTTCCAATAAGTATCTGCATGTCTGACCATATCGGTCAGTAACCTCTAGGGCAGGAGTAGCAAACCTGCGGCTCTGAAGTTGCATGCAGCTATTTAGCCCCTTTCCAGTGGCTCACTGTAGCTTTGACAAAGAAATTCATGGAAATAAAGCAGAGCACTCAGAGAGCGCAGACCTCTGCCAAGCAGCTAGGATTTCCCACCATTTTACTATTTTATCCACTTCACTTCAACCGATCACCACCAAATTTTTATCATCTGTTCCTTTTACCATTATCAACCTTTCCTGAAAATTTCATCAAAACCCGTTCAGAACTTTTTGAGTTATTTCGCAGACAAACAAACAAACCGACCAACGCGAAACATAACCTCCTTTCATTTTTCATTTTGATTCTTACATTCTCCAGTTGTAAATATGTGTAGCCTATACACCGATTAGAAAAATACTGTAACATTACATCAACTAGAAGGAGCGTCATACGTACACGGCCTGGCACATTTTAATCTACATTTTGCCAAACGTCAATAGCAATGGCTAGTGTTGAATCACCGTAGCCAGACTAGCAATGAATTCCAAAGCCAGAAGATGAAAAGTCACAGAGGAAAGAACAGAATTTAATGGCTCATTTGCTTTCACCGCCAACGCTGCAAAGTTAAGTTCCAATTAATCTTAAATAGTCCACTGCAGAGTGGCCACCTTGTGGTAAAACATATTAATGAATGCTCATTTAAAACTATTACTAATAATGATTGGCTAGCTTTGACTTTAAAGGCTGTGTTACTTCAGTATGATGCATAAGTTTGTTTTGTGGCTCCAGACAGATATTTTTGGGCCAAAAATGGCTCTTTTAAAAGTAAAGGTTGCCGACCCCTCTAGGGGAAAGGTCTACTCCATTACTGTCAGTCATCAACATGCTGTCCATTTCATGAGATGTAGTATGAGGTTGGGAGTCTGGAAGAATATATGGTTTGTATCACTACAGGAGTAGTTGTTCAGTCGGTGACCCTTGTGCTCATTTGGGATGGATCAGCAGGAACAGGGAAATGGTGTCTAATGAGGCGCTTGGAGATGTGTAACAACCTTTCTGCCCTAATTGAAAACCAAGTCATGTGAAAATGTAGATGTATAAATTTAGCTGGCTGAACACTGAAAACAGCATGCAGCTGGAACCCCTCTTGGGATATTTGATTGCAGCAGTTAAATGTACCTCTTTGTACAGACTTTACAGGAGCCCCAAGTTCACAGGTTAAGGGCGGCACCATTGACCTTAAATGATGAGGAAAGGGGGGAAGAGGAAGTTGTAAACTTGTCAGACTTCAAAATTCTTTTTAACATATTAGGTTTTTGTGCTCTCACTTTGTTCTTTGAAAGATGTTTGTGCTTACCCGTTTGACCTTTGCTTTGAGTAACAGCACATTAGATCGGTTTTTATCCTTTGAACGAATCAGTTATCTTCGTTGCTAAAGTAGTCCCCTGTTTTGCTTGTCAAATTTATCTTGCTGTTGTATTCTGTCCAACCCATTAGTAATTTTGCCCTGGGAGATTAAGACTGTAAAATGATCTGCCTGAGGGCTGACTTACCTACTCTCATCTATATTGGATTTTAAATCACTCTCTAAAACAAATCTGGCGACACTGTTCTTTAAGTTTTTCTCTGTTTCTCATAGTTTTTCTTCTTCCCTTCCTTTAATATAATAATAATTATTTTTATCACAGGTAGTACTTGTATTCATGGTAGTAGTAGTTTAACTTTAAAGTCCAGTGGGTAGGATTTAGGGGGATATATTGGTAGTAATGGAATATCATATAATAAATACTTTTTCTTCAGTGTGTAGTCACCTGAAAATAAGAAATGTTCTGTTTTTGTTTCCTTAGCCATTTATATCTACATAAGGAGTGGGTTCTCTTATACAGAGATCACCATGTTGTACCAGCATGTCTCCATAGTAGCCCAGAACAGACAAACCAAAAACTAGCTCTTCGTAGGGCTTTTTGTGATTTTACGTTTTTGTGTTGGCCACCGAAGTTGGAAGCCCCTCCACGATGAGAGGTTCAGAAAAATGACAGATTTTTTTTAAAAAGTGAAACTACTTTATTTAGTGTTTTTAATAGTTTAAATGGCTTGGTCTGTTTGTTTTGGAGAGGAGGGCTAACTGTCTGTCATGTGCTGAAAAGCATAGGAGAAAAAATGATACGTAATGTGAAACTGCTTTAGTCCGTGTTTTTACCTGTTTATATGTCCAGGTTTGTTCGTTTTTGGACAGGAGACAACCTCTGCAGATAATCTGGCTCCTCGTAAAATCCTCTTGAACTTTACCATAAAACTGCTTTGTTCAGTTTTATTACCGGTTTTAATCACCTGGTCCATTTGTTTTGGAGAGGAACAGACCTCTGTGGATACTACGCCACCTGATGAAAACCTCCTGAACAAAGGACATTGAAGGAATTCTAACCAGGAGAAGTTCCAGCTGGTTGCAATCTGCAGTTCTCACCACTAGATGCCACTAAATCCCACACATTGTTCCTTTAATAGAAGTAAAATTGCAAAGTCATGCAATGTCACGATAAGATCATCATAAGGCTACTTCAGCAGGCTACTAGAATGCCTTGAATCTGAGATATGAACGCTGTATGTGTGTCCTCAGTTGACCAGTCATGTGTAGCGTATATACTCTTATCAGAAGTTATGTGTGCAAGAGTACATCCACAGTGTGTGTATGTGCAAATAGATATGTGTGTGTGCAGGTACTTTGGTTTTATAGCCTGAATGGCTGCCTGCTGCCATTCAAGGATCAAAGGCCCAGCTCTGTCTGGAGTTTACAGTAGCCTAGGAAGTGCAGTGGCCGTGAGGCAGGCACATTAGACCTGCGTGAGTGAGCCTCTTTAAGTTTCAGTGCCTTCACTTCCATCAATCTGCCTCACTATTTTGTTTATCTTCCTCTTCCTCTCTTTTTCTGTCTGAGTTATTTGCTGTTTTGACGAGTGGAGGTCAACATTTAAAATCTAACAACTCCTTTTAATCGATTCCCATTGTCGAATGTTATGTTGAATGTTGCTGAAGCCAGTTGAGAGCCTGTGAGGGTTTGGATGATTGCTGTGTAACACGCAAACCAATCCAAGCTCACCATGAGCTCAAATCCTGTTCCAACTCCAAATTCAGACTAACCCCCAGCTCCAGTCTGAGAGCCACGCTGTGT